AAAAAATGTGACAACACCCTCTGGTAAATCTACAAACTAATTGGTAACACAAACTCAACCATCCCAGTTCTCCAAGGCAATAACTAACAATACTACTCCGATTATGAGATGACACAACTGTTAGCAAATCAGTTTCAACAAATTCATAATAACTCTTTCCAAACGGTAGATATCCCCACATGAATCTGAAATTACCTCGTTTAACAATCACTTCGAAATCACATCTCCTCAAAAGTAGTCATCAATATTTTCTCTAAAATGCATATACAACATTATTAACAAACTCTCAAAGAACAAATTCCCTGACTTACCAGGGAAATTAGTTTATACTGTCAGCTCACAAAAATATTTAATTGATCAGCTAAACAATTAAAACCTGAACGGCTGATCAATGATCCGGAACGTGAACACAGGTACTTTAAAAAGAGTGAACAATTTGACGTATAACATTATCGGTGCGTCCTCAGACCCCTGATGAAGAAACGCGGGCGAACCGTTGGGAAAGTTATTCTACTGGGCACGGTTTACGCGCACAAACCTCAAACAGTATAAATTGTAACACACCGGGCTGTGAAAGCTTCAAAACTCTTACCAGGGAAATTAATTTGCAAAAAATCAAAATTCTGGTCTATGCGTATTTTGTGTTTAAATATGTATTTTATGTACAGAGTGTAAAAAAATTAATGGTCACTGCTTCAGGGGGTGAATCTACACCCTTGGATCGGTGGACATTTGTAAAAAAAAGTTTCCACAAAATTGTTTATAACATTGAAAATTAATGTTAAATTTTTTTTACATCAACGTATTCTGCTCGACGAGAAGAGAAAAAGTCTGAGAGGAGCCATATGCCGCAAACAAATAGTTTCCGAGATAAACGTTGATAAAGTTTGGCAACGATTTGATTGTGTAGAGCTATACGTATAGACTAGGACCTACAAATACTCTGCCATTTGGTGGGATCTAGCCGTGTAGGACACGCTCGGTATAATGGTGTGCGTGCCTCTACAAACGGTTCGGGCCTGCCTTCGAGTTTAGACCTTGTTGTCCCTTTAAACGGCGTTTGTAGGGGCACGCACACTATTATACCGAGCGTGTCCTACACGGCTAGTCTTACCAAATGGCAGAGTGTTAGTAGGTTAGTAGGTCAGTAGCTCCTATACGTATAACTTTACACAATCAAATCCGAACTTTATCAACGTTTATCTTGGAAACTATTGGTTTGCGGCATATGGCTCCTTTCAGACTTTTTCTCTTCTCGTCGAGCAGAATACGTTGATGTAAAAAGAAAATTTAACATTAATTTTCAATGTTAGAAACAATTTTGCGGAAACTTTCTTTCACAAATGTCCACCGATCCAAGGGTGTAGATTCCCCCCCTGAAGCCGTGACCATTAATTTTTTTACACCCTGTGCACAAATTTATGCGAAAATTTATAAATATTTTACAACAAATATTAACAAAAAATTTTAATTTTTAGTATATTATTTAAACAAGTGGACTTTTTTCAAATCTGTTTACAGTCACATTCGTCGTTCAGAAGCATTTTCATCAATTTATACCATCCCTTTATCTCTAAGAGGTTTCAAAATATTAGACTAAATATGTTTACTACCCTTGATTTAGAGGACGATTTTCACCACTTCAATATAGACGAGTGGGATGTTCACTTCGAGATGTTATCTTGTTAGACAAGATCACGGCCACCAAATTGAAACGAATGCCTCGCATACTTTATATCCAAAACTATATAGAAAGCAAATGTCTAATTATTTGCTACTTTCCAACTGCATGGAAGACTGCTAAAATCATTCGTATTAGCAAATTCAATACAAAACAAAACAGATCCAAAGAACTACAAAGCTATAAGCTTGCTCAGTGTGTTTGCTAAGGACTTAGTGTGAGTCCTTGAAAAACTCATCTTAAAATTCTTAACACAGCATTCAACAAACGACATCATCATCATATACTAACAATTTGGCTTCAAGAAATTCCATCATTCACGAGCTTCTAAAAGTAACAGAATTCACTGCACTAGAGATGAACAAAAAAAGGTCAGTCCAAATGATACTACTAAATATCGGGAATACCATCGCAGGCCTTATAATAAAACTAGCAAAAATCAATAATACCTTATACGTGATTAAACTGCTTAAAAGCTACCATGAAAACAGGAAATTTATACAAGAACACATGAATACTCTCCTTGAATATTACACACATAAGAAAATAAAAATTAATTCCACGATAACGGAAGCAATCACTTTTACAAGAAAATTAAAGAAGCCAGCCAGCGCTAAAAACTTACACAATACGTAAATACCATAGAAGAACAATATTAAATACCTGGATATACCAGCCTTAAAAAGATTATACCTACTTATTATAATCTAACAAATGTAAATTAAACACCAATATCAAAATCACCCTATACATTGTCTATGTAAGAGCCATTCCACATCAAATCGCACAGCATTGCGGTCATAGTCACCGATCTTTTCAAACTCGCTAAATTTATTCATAACCTTGAGAAACAAAACTGTGAAAAATTTTAGCTTTATATCTCAAATAGTTTTCGAGATATTTGTTAAAGGACTCATTTTAAAGATAAAGAAATGCTCGTTTCGAATATATACATATATACCGGCCAAAAGTTTGGAATCACTTGCGGATTTCTATCAAAATCGAATATACCGGTAAATTTTGGAATGATCCATCGTTAATATATCAGATGTTAACAAGTTGAATTATACTTTAAGAGATTTCAGCATTTTCTTATGTCCATAATACTATTATATAATTCATACACTCAGTTTAAGGCAACGCTCGGAATGAACTTTTCTACTGCCGGGAAAGATACTCTTTCGGTTTTCGCCTTATATAGGAATTCGCGATTCTTTTGTTTACCAATAAGCGTCGAATGTTACAATATTAGATTCCAATTGGCTGGTCCGGGGGCCGAGAAAATGTATAAATCGGACATTTGTTATACATTGCCACCATTCTCGTGAACGAAGGCGTTGAAACGTGATCAGC